TTCCTTCCTTCCTTCCTTCCTTCCTTCCTTCCTTCCTTCCTTCCTTCCTTCCTTCCTTCCTTCCTTCCTTTCGCCTTGAGGAGGGTTCCACAGAAAGCAGCACTGGGTGTTTACTAAACAGGCTCATCACAGATGGTCTTGGTTTTTCTTGTTTGCAAGCCACTATATATGGTAGCCCCCTTCAAGCCTCCTTCTGTCCCAAAAATTGTCTGGTGATTCCATTACCTCTTTAAAAAATTGATCAAATTCTTCACTGCCTCTAAGGGATCCTCAGAACTCTCCTGTACCACTACTGACACTGAAGAAATAATCAGTTAGAGATTCAATGCGTTTTAAAAGAACTGCTCACCCAGTTCCAACCAGGGCAGAAAGAAAAAGGAAAGGAGGGGTGAAGGCCCTGTTGGCTCCAGAAGCCTTGAGTTCCTCTCCACAATGGCCTTGTCTAACTTTTCTGCCACTTTCATCAGCAAAGGTTTCAGTTTTTCATTTGATGCTTATTTGTAGGATCTTGGGGTAGGGAGTTGACAGAGGAGGCTGTGGCTTTACTGGTGCATATTTTGATTGTTCCACAGCTAGATGATTATAATAGTCTTCTGGCAGTTATTTCCAATTCTTTATGTTCCTTGATTCTACTCCAGAACACTACCATTTGAATTATTCTGGACCTTCTACACTATCCCCATGTTTGTTACATCATGGGGCTCTTCACTGGGTCCCAGTTCATATTCTGATGCTTAGGTTTAGAGTCCTCCAGTCATAATCTCCTTGGATCTGTCTGTTCTTATTTCTCCTTACAACTCTACTTATTTGTTACATTCCTCTGGGCAAGTTTCTTTCTGTTCCCCATTCCAGGATAGTGGATCTCACAACTCTGGAATCAGCTCCCGTCTTCCTTTCACCTCTATCAAAGTTTCATGGCCATTAAAAGTTATCTTTATTTTATTTTTTTTACCAGAGGGTTAATGTGGGACTTTGTTATTTAATTTTGTTTTGTTTTGTTTTATTTATCAATTTATATGGCCACCCATCTCAACAAATGACTGGGCAGCAAACAATGCTAAAAGTAAAATATAAAAGCAATTGCAACTAGAAAAATTAAAATATGTAGCAGCCAAGAGAAATACAGCAATCACTGACACAGCCAGGAGATAGGTCCCTTTACACACTCAGGCCCCAGGCCTGGGCACAAAACCAGGTCTTTAGGGCCTTAGAAAAGGTCAGCAGGATCAGGGCCAACCTGATCTCTGGAGAAGGAATGTACCAGAGGATGGGTGCTACAGCAGAAAAGGCCCCTCTTCTGGGCCCCCCAGTTGACATTTCTTAGCCAACAGGACCTGGAGCATCCCCATCCTGCCAGACTGGATAGGACAGATAGAAACAACCGGGGACAGATGGTTCCTTAAGTAACCCAGTCTCAATCCATGAAGGGCTGTAAAAGTGAAAAACATCTGGAAGCATACTGGCAAACAGTGCAGCTCACAAACTTGTGGTGTTACATGTGCTGAGAAGATCCCTGGCACCAGAAGGTCCAAACACCCAAAACCACTCAGTGTTGCTTGGGTTGAGCCAATGCCTGTTGTGCCTCATCCAGGCCTCCACAGCCTCCAGGCACTGGGACAGGACGTCCATGGCATCACTCAGATAGCCTGGAGTGGTGATGTAGAACTGGGTATTATCAGCATACTGGTGATACCTCACCCCAAATTGACCCAGCATATTGGAAATGACCTCACCCAGTGACTTCATGTAGATGTTAAAGAGGGGAGAGAGAACCAAGCCCTGTGGCACTTTACAAACTAGAGGCCACAGGCTGGATCTCTCCCTGCCATCAACACTGACTGGAACCAGACCCAGAGGAAGGAGGAAAACCAGCACAACAGTGTCATCCACCCCCAACTCTCAGAGATGGTCTAGAAGGATATCATGATCGATGGTATTGAAAGCTGATGGGAGGTCAAGAAGGGCAAGGATGGATGCACTGCCACCATCCCGCTCCCATCAGAGATCATCCAAGAGCATGATCAGTGCTGTCTCTCAGTTCCATACCCAGGCCTGAATCCTGACTGAAAGTGGTCCAGATAATCCATTTCCTCCAGAATCTTCTAAAGCTGCAGTGCAACCACTTTCTCCACAACCTTCCCTAAAAAGATTGGGAACTGGACGAAAAGATTGGAAACAGAACCCTGTTATTTTGTCCTACTCTCATTAAGATTGGTAGCTTTGTCAGTATTTTATATTAAATATGGATATATGTACACTTTGCAGTAGACAATTCCTTTAAATGTATATGTTGTTTTGTTTGATTTATTTTACTTTTTAATACTGGTTTTACTGATTGGTTGTTAAGTTGTAAACTAATTGTATTGGATGGATTTTTGTAACTAATGTGCTTTTCTTTTACTGGTACTACACTTGGTAAAGAGTTGTTATTGCTGTTTGATTGATTCTGCCAGTTTCACCCTGAACTCATATTGTTTAGTCCATAACAGCTCCTCTTCATGCATGGAAGTTGAATCTTGGAAGGGGAGATTTAGGACATACCTGCTTTAAGAGCTATTTGTCTGGATTGCCCTCTTCACCATAGGAATAATCACAACTAAGACCTTCCCCTTTGTCCATCTCAGGATGACCAAAAGCGGAGCTGATTACGCTTATTCATTCATTCACTCATTCATTTGCTGTATATTTTCCCAGCAACAACAACTCAGTGAGGTATGCTGGCCTGAGAGAGTGTGACTGGCCCAAAATCAACCAATGAGCTTTCATGGCTGAAAGTGAACTTGAACCTGTGGCTCTCTGATCCTTAACTACTGTACTAAGTCTCCCAATGCGATTTTCTAGGATGGATCCTTGGTCCTCTTGGTACTAACCCTTTCATGGTCTCAGTCCATGGATCTATACTCCCTAGAACAACCCAAGCAATCATTACATACATTGACCTCCTCTGTGTTCTGGAATTCCATTATCTAAATGTGCTTTGGACTGATTGTGTTACAGACAGCTTTTTGAAACAATCTCTCATACTCAAGACTTTTTGTCTCCTTGAAGATGTTCACGTACGAGTTCTAGCTTATCATAGCCTCTTTCCATCTCTGTCTTCTTAGTTTGTTAGGACTTGGAGGCTACAAAGAGTTTGGCCTTTGCCTCTGAGCTTTAGGACCTGCTGTCCATACTAATTCCCTAATGGAGCTTGTGTTTTGAACCTGATTATTATGTTTCTGATATCTCTTTGGTCTATTTGACATCTCATTTAACATTGTCACTTGATGCTGAATTTGAGAATTTTGATATTTTTTGCCCCAGTTTTTTTCTATATGAAGAGCATATATCATGTTCCTCTACCAATAAGGTACAATTTGCTCTTTAGATAACTGACTTCTAGTTTCATAATCTAATGCTATCTCACCATAAAGCTCAAGCTGTTCAGCTCTTATAGCACCTCAGCTTCTAGATCTATTATAATAAATATTCCTTTCTTCCCTTGCAGGTTTTCTAATTCATAAGGGCAACAGTAGATACACACAGAGGAGTTACAGTCCTACTGCGTATGTGACTCCATATGCTTCTGACATTTTAAATTTCTTCCCTAATATGAATCAGTGCCTGTGTTGTTTTCCAACTGCTAAGCTATTTGGAGGCTACAACTTCAGTTATTTGTTCTGCCCATTTTTGGATGTATCTTCTACAGGACTAGTACCTCTATTTCACTTTTCCAGGTGCGGACATAATACAGCTACTCCTCTCAGTTCAGCCTTGAGTCAAAGAATTCTACTAGTGGCTGATTTCAGAAAATCTCCCTGGAAATGTTCTCTCTGCTTGTTCTCAGCACTGATACATCCATGTCCAGGTGAGGAGCTCACCTCTGAACAGTCTGCATCTGAGGTGCTTGGTCAAGGCATAAAGCGTTGCAACACTTCAGTGAGTTTGAGCTCCTTGTAGTTTAGATGGCACTGGCAGCTTTTTAAGGTTGTCCCTGTGGTGAGATTGTCCACGATATGCTAAACAATTCCCTGGTAAATATAAACAAGATGGCACAAAGTCTGGCTGTCTTTTTGCATCTTATAGTTACAGCATTGGTGTGCCTGATGCTCCATTTTCATCTTGGCAGTCCATTTGCCTGAAATCAAGAACATGCTTGCCAGTGACTTAAGCTCTACTAGAATAGTCACCCACAAATGAAAACTACATTGATGATGGCCATTATCAAATGCCATTGGGTCAATCTGTTTGCATGTTGAGATGAGTAATGCCTAATATTTTGCAACGGGGGTAGGAGATCTCTGTTTTCTTGGTAATCCATTTTTCTTGGAATGGTCCTATTTTACATACATCTGCTCATTCTTCTGTTGATCAGAGTCCTGGCAAAGATAAAAGAAATTGACCAACCACATTGTCAGCATACCATGATGGCATTGGCAGCCATGGTTCACCATTTTGCTTCATCTTGTTTCTTGAAATACCTCTGCCTTCCTCAACCTCCTCTCCATTCATCGGGGCAACATTTCTATCCAGTCCTTGAGACAGAGCAGATTATGTCAGGTTCTGAGAATCTTTCTATCAAGTCTTTCTATGCTGATACATGAAAATTCTTTATGGTCTTCATCTGGAAACAGCAATTTAATCCCATGAAATTTCATGTCCATTGCTTTTTAGTCTTTTACTTGTATTTGAAAGAGCAAAGTTTGGCTGTATTGTCAGTTATTTGCCTTGTAGCTGACTCTACCTTGTTTTTTTCAGTGGGTATAGTTCTTTTTTTTTCTAACCCTTTTGTAAAGCATTTCATGAAAAGCTCAGCATATTTTTCTTTTCCAGTGCCCCCTCACTGCTTCCTCATAGAGTCTCTCCATGGCTATCACCACCATTCTCTCATGGAATGTAGCCTTTCTAGTAGCTGGGACATCAGTGTGTCAAACTGGAGAACTGTGTGACTTATGAAGAAACCCTCTATTTTGTATTATATATAGGGAAACAGTAGTCTTTTGCTCAGATATTTCCTTCTGAATCAGTGCATCATACAGTATAGCATATCTTTTTCCCACCACTGGAAATAATCACAACACTTTAGATGGTTGTTGTGCTCTTGCTTTTTAACTCGGCCACGTGGCACAATTCCTGTAGTGGAGTTAAACGAAGTGCCCACTTGGGCTCAGTCTTCCACTTTCATCCATAGCTACAGACTGGACTTTCCCTTTGGAATCTCTCTTCAATCACTTATGATGATCAGATACTCCTCTAGATACGAATCTCTTTTCTCACCCATATGTGTGGATCACAGAGATCATGACGGTGGAGAATTGGTTACTTACTGGTAACTGAGTTGTCAGGTGATCATCTGTGAATTCAAAAAATCCACTCCCCATCTGTTGTGGTGTCAGTTGACCCCATTGTTCCTTTGGATTTGCTGTGTTAGAAGAAATGAAGGATTTTTGTGACATAGTATGTGTGGTGGGCAAGGCTGTCCCCAAACAATTCTATAAGCTCTAGAACAATGTTTCTCAACCTTGATGACTTCCAGATGTATGGAGTTCAACTCCCAGAATTCCCCAACTAGCATAGCTACTGCTGCGAATTCTGGAACTTGGTGTCTACACATCTTGAATTGGGCCAGGTTGAGAAACACTGCTGTAGAATGTTGTGAGCAATGTTTAGCTCTGGCTTGTAACTCATGTGTGAATTTATAGATGATCCCTTGACAAATTGTAATTATAGATAAATAACCAGTTCTTATAAAAAGGAAGTCAATTTATATAATGTTAGATTTAGCCCAGTCAGCCCTGTCTATACATATGTTTGTTCAGTTAATGTGAAATTGAATAAAATCATGTAATGTTGCTGGTGATGACCTTTGAAGCCTTGATTGGAGGACAAAGATACTGGAAGAACAGCCTGAGTTCCTTTCTTACAGAGATCTTCTTTAGGGGCCCTCTGTTATGTTTCAGCGATCCATGAGATTAAAACTGGGGAGAGGGTACTTCTGAAAACTGCACTTAAACTCTGAAACTTGTTTTAAGGGACACACATCTTTCTTCCTAACACTCTTTCAGAAGTAATTGCTGTTTTCTGCTTCAGAGGAAGCTTCAGTGTATAATTCTTGTTTTTAACCAATTATTTTTATTTAATCTTTAAAATTATTCTGACTGCTATTGTTGTATTTGCCATGTTCTGTATCACTACTAAATGACAGAGGATTATTATTTGGCTCATTTAACTAATATATTAAATCTTTTTAAAACATAAGATTTCAGAATTTGTTGAAAAATGATGATGATTGGAATTAATTTCTACCCTCATTTACTTTGCTAGTAATTCCCAAGTTTATAATGTAGTTCCTGTATAATATGTTTTCCATTCCCACTTTGTTCATCAGATGCGGTAGCAAACAAGGAGAAGAGGATTATAGACCACTTTTTGAGAACTTTGTTCAAGATCTTCTTTCCACTGTCAATAAACCAGAATGGCCAGCTGCAGAATTGCTCCTTAGCTTATTGGGAAGATTGCTGGTAAGCATATGGAGAATTAAAAAAAAATCTGCTTCCACTTTAACAAAAGCTTGTTCTTTATCACAATTCAGTACATCATTCTGAACCTGAGATGATTTTTGGTGAGAGGCTCATTCTCACTGTGCATTCTTACAGGTGCATCTTCTACTTTTTCCTTAATTCCTAAGGATTGTCATAGAAGCCCCAGATCCCAGAATATCTATAATCATTGACATCTGAAATTTAAGGAAAGTGGGTTTTGTGAATGCACAGATGAACACTCATAGAACTATAGTAATGGGTAAACATCCATTCTTTCTTTTTTTTTTTTTAACATGGTCTGTGTACATTATACCTATGGGTGAATAAGAGTCTACTTAGAAATCAGTGTGCCATATGCCCAGGGTTTTTTAGTTAACCATTTTTAAAAAGAACAACTGTGAAATATGAAAGAATAAAATAGTAAAATACAATAGCAGAGTACAAGTAAGTAAAACATGAGAACTAAAATGTCATGGAGGCTACAGTTTTTCAATATATTTTTAGTTATTTATGACATATGTCACATTTTCAAGTCACTATTAAGCTTTAAAATAGTACTTGGTTTACACAGAATAAATCACTAACTAGTATTATGGGCTAAAATAATTTGACTTCTGAAATTCCTTTATAGTATGAGATGCTAGTGCAGCATTTATGACAGATTAGTTTACCTCTCTGAAAATAAATAGAAAGAAAGCCATGCAGAAACAGAAGGACACATTACTAATGACTTTAAAAATTGGAATCAAAACATAAACTTAATCCAATTTTGGATTTAAAATATAAGATAAAAGCAATAGAGAATCAACTGGATTTACTTAGTGTAGATGAAATTTACAAAATACTGAATTTGCCAGAGAGAAATATTTGGAAAAAGGCAACAAGTAAAATAAATAGTTGACTTATCAATTGCACAAGGAATAGATTAAAAGAACCATCACTTTTGTTTGGGACAGAACTAAATAATGTTTTTACAATGAAAGATATGATGCAGTAGTTTGTCAGTTATAATTTTATAATAAACAAGAATCTGAACTGGAAAAAAATACCTGAATAAAACAGTTATAAAATGTACAAATCAACAGGTTTTTTTTAATCCAGCTATAACAGAAGTTGAAACTAAAGAGGCAATAAAAACATTGAAATTGAAAAAAGGTACTGGACCTGACAGTATTTCTGCAATATATTATAAGACTCCAAGAAATGTTGGTCAAACCTTTTAACTCAGGTGATTAATAAGATTCAAGAACGTTAAAATCTTCCATCATCCTTGGGAAAAAAGTTCAGTTTCTTTGCTTTATAAAGAAGGAAAAGACTCCACCCATTCTAAATCATATAGATTTATGTTCTTCCTGAATGTAGATAGTAAACTCTTCATGGCAATTCTTGCTCAGAGAATAAGTGGCTTTTTAACTGAAAAAAAAAAAATCCTGATCAGACTGGATTTGTTCCAGCAATATTCTATATTGAAAGGAACAAGACAAGGTTGTCCCTTCTCTCCTTCTTTGTTTTTGTTGGTACTAGAACCAAGCAGTGCAAGAACATAAACTGAAATGATTTGTTAATGATATTGTATATACATTTACACAACCTAAATATTCTTTAAGTTCATTAATGGAACACACACAACAGTATGGTCGTATTTCAGACTATCGTATTAACAAAGAAAAAGCTCAAGTTTTGATATGGAACTTGACAGAGAAAGAAAAGTGTATCAAATAATAAGCTTCAATGCTATTGTAATGAAGGTCCAGTATTTAGGAATTGCTTTAACAAAAAATAATTATTTATTCAAAAACAGCTATCTACCAAGTTGGAGAAATGTAACAGCAGATATTTCTAGATGGAAAAAACTAAATTTAACTTGGTTGGGAAGAATTGTGATCATTAAAATAAACATTTTACCAAGACTTAACTTTCTTTTTCAAATGATTCCAGCACATATTGAAAATGAGATATTAAGTTACTGACATTGACAAGTAATAAATTATATATGCTCCAATAAAAGACCAAGGATTACATTCAAGATTTTGTAGGATTCAAGAGAGCAAAGAGGAATAGTGGCTCTGAATGTTAAATTGAATTACATGCTAGTTGTTTAACATGGATGTCAGAATGGATTATATCTCCTTGTAATTCTATTACTTCTACAGAAGGGGCAGAGCTTGCAGATGGCCTGTTTGAATATCTTTGGATTAATATAAATAGAAATAAACAATGTATAAGAGACTATGCAATAATGAGTAATATACTGAATATTTGGGATAAATACAGGAAGAGAATACAGGTTTTTGTCTTTCAGCTTTGTTACTAAATGTCTGTTTTTATGAAGAGGTCTATACTAAAAAAAAATTGATCAGTGGAAAAACAATAATCCAGATTGTAGGATTAATTATTGACAAGTTGAAAATAACATCATCTGATATTCTTACTTCACAGTAATCTAACCTACTCAAATGGTTTCAGTAATTTCAAATAAATGGTACAGCACAAAATGAATTGTAGAAACAAGGGGGAATATTGTGAGAATTGACAGAATTCAAAAATCTTTTAACATGCAACTTTGAACAATAGAACTACTTGTATCAATTTTCTCCAAATACAATACTGAATAATGTACCAACAATAGAATTACTTGTATCAATTTTCTCCAAATACAATACTGAAAGTAAATTTTTTCACTAATAAATACTTTATTAGTGAAATTCAGTTGGGAGTTAGAACAGATCAAAGATTGCATTATTAAATAGATGCAGAATTTGAATAATATAATAAACAGTATGCAACAATGGGAGTTTACTAAATACTAAAGAATACTAAATTTACTTTCAGTATTGTATTTGGAGAAAATTGATACAAGTAGTTCTATTGTTGGTACATTATTCCAGTCACCAAAATGAATAATTCATTTTCTAAAAAGTGTAGGAAGTGCAATGAGCAAGTTTGATTATTTTTTCACATTTGGTGGCAATGTAGAGAAGCTCAACAATTTTGGAAAATGATTTATATTAGAATGAAACAAATTTGGAAAATTGAATTCCCTCTGCAATTTTATTTTTATTAAATTTTACTGAAGATATTTTTTATTAAATTTTACTGAAATATTCCTTCAAAATATATTGGACTAGCTTTGTGTATGTTAGCAGTGACAAGATTATTATATGCTTCTTATTGGAAAAGGTGTTTGATCTCTTCCTTGGTAGAATAGCTAATTAACTTATGGAACTATGCTTTGATGTCTAAAATAACCTCATATTTAATAAGTAAATCTGATTTTTTAAATATTAAATTCAATTCTAATTGGAAGCATTATTGGATCATAATTTACTCTAAGGATTTGTATCTCATATTTACATTTTTATATTTAGAGTTTGCTTTAGTTTTACAAGAAATTAGATTCCTAGTGTTGATTAACTTGTTATGCCCAGCTTTATCAGTTAGGAAGGAGATAACACTCTTTCAAAGGATGCATCAAGATACCCACATTCATCCAATAGCATTTGTGCAGATAATGAAAAAGAATATGTTGTTTACTTTTAACTGGTTTTTCAAGTAATTGCTTGTGCTTCCATGCAACTTGGGTGTGGGTGCCTAAGCTTGTAAAGCTTCTGTTATCATATTGTTTGAAAAAGATCAGGCAATATATGAAGCATATTGAAGGAGAGAAAATGGGAGTGACAAAAGTTTTGTGTTTTTGTTAGGTTCATCAATTCAGTAATAAATCAACAGAAATGGCTTTGAGAGTGGCATCACTTGATTATCTTGGAACTGTAGCAGCACGATTGAGAAAAGATGCAGTTACTAGCAAAATGGATCAAGGATCTATAGCCCGAATTTTAAAACAGGTTTGATGCTTTTATTGGTTTTAAGGACAAATGTTTAAATAATGATTGAATGATTGTTGTAATAAACTTACTTTTACTAAGAGGTGTACTAAAGCATAATAAAAAGTAGCATGAGACTGAATATATGTATTGTCAGAAACAAATTATTGTACTTTTATTCTTCCTTAGTTTTGTGACACATCCATTTATGGAATTATTCTTAGTAGAGAATTTTTGTGTATCTCATTTTAATCAGTTTAACATTGTAGTAATATTGAGGGGAGAGCCAGTTTGGTGTAGTGATTAAGGCATCAGGCTAGAAACTGGGAGACTGTGAGTTCTAGTCCCGCCTTAGGCACAAAGCCAACTTGGTGACCTTGAACCCCCCCCCCCCCCCCCCCCAAATTGAGGGACATCTACCTTTTTCTCTGATGCTGTAGGTAGTTCATAAATGCATTGGCCATCAGGCTGCTAGACATGAAGGCTGGCCAGAATTTTTTTCCCAGAAATGCTTCTGTTCTACATTAAAGTAAAGCATAAAGGTAATGGATGGTGTTAAAACAATATTTAATTTTTTAAAAAAATATATACTCAATTTTTTTTAGTCAAGTATAGGAATTCCATAGTGTGTTGCATTTATCAATTAATATAACAGCTATTGTGATGGAATGGAATTATGAAGGCCAGACTCAGGGAGGGAAACATGT